TGGATATCCTAGTTCTCGGGAAAAGGGGGAGCGACATAAAAGCCGACCATTGATTGATCGAAACTCGCAGCCTCGAATGCCATGGCATGATACTTCGGTAAGTGGTGGGGGAAGCAGCAGCACTGATCCTCCCGTATTGAGTTGTGTTGGAGTGGTGGTGTAGCGGTAGTGCTCGCGTCCAGATGTTGTTATGCTTGGAGTCGCTTTCGTGCGCAGGTTCAAATCGTGGGACCGGTAGTTTCTGATATAGCGAGGCATTTTGTGCAGCTTTGGAATCACATTAAGACAGATAAACATAAACAACAAAACAAAGTGAGGGGAAGATGGTGGCCCGACATTCATCAATTTCGTGAAAGTATACGAAATATTACATTTTTTTTCTGGAAGCTCTTTCGTGTTCGGATCTGCGGCATAATTTCGTGGCGCAGTGACGGTTTGTGTAGGTACAATATCTGCAGGTCACTGGAGAGGAACGCAGTAAGCACGATCGGACTGCTCGGCTGAAGAAAAATTTGAAGAGAAAATTGAAGAGGATACAGGAATTTGGTAAGCCTGCGCAGCGCGAAGATTCTTTTTTGACGTGAAAGATTTGCACAATATTTCCGGGGCAGATGTTCGCAAGCACTTGGGAGGAGCGGACCTGTTGCAGTTGGATCGGGCGAGGGCTATGAGCCAGGAAAATGCGACTAGTGCGGGAAATAAGATACCGGAACCTCCAGGGGACATTCCGGCAGCCTCGCCGATGGAAGGTGGGTGTGAGCTTCGCTCCGCCTTTTTTTGATTGTTGTATCGCGTACTAGGCGAGAGTGGCCATGTTGTGGTTGATGAGAAGCAAACGGAAGCGCAGACCTCTGATGCGGATCGTAGTCGCCGTAGACCGCCACGACATGATGGGTACGGCGATCGTATGGATGTTCCTAAGAAGGAAAGCAGACCCGTTTTTTCGAGAGGGAACACTACTGGTATGGCCATCAGCATCGATGTAGGTTGGTTACTGGGAGCTTGAAGACTGAGGAATTTATATATTTTTTCACTTCAAGTTTGAACAGCGGAAATTCGGAAATTGTAGATTTGTAAACGACATAGTAAATTGCGGAATCGCAATTTGAAACTCACGTGAGGCGTTTAAATTCAGCTAATTCCAATTTCGAATGAATTTCTTTATTATGGAGTTTAGAACTTTTTTTGGAAATATTCGATTCGAATTTCGAGATAGTTGAGAAAGTCCAATTTTTATTCGATTCTTTGATTGATTTGATTCAAAAAAACAGATCCCAATTTCATTTTTTTTAAAAACCACGGATTGAAAATCCATAACGAGTGTTACTTTCGCGGCTTTCGAGTGGAAATTTTCTGCACTCAATTTTGATGAACTCGTGATGGGGCAGTTTTATTTGCTATATAGTTGTCAGTTTGCGAGGAATTTTATTTTTTTCTCAAAGAGGATCGGATTCTGAAATTTCGAAAATTATGATTTTTTCCGTGAGCGGAGCGCAGGTGTTTTTAGGTGCTGAATCAAATCGAACAGGTCTCGGCGTTGTCACCGCAGCGTCGAGAAGGGGAACATGTTGCGGATATATCACCGAGGAAGAAGAACTGTAAGGTGCGGGGTTCGAACTCGGGTGCACTCGGGTTTGATTTCGAGTGAAGGATTGATGAAGAATATGCTTCCCAGCTTCGCTCCGCCTAATTTATGTTTCATGTTTCTCAGTATCGGCTAAACCAAGATTCTTCGGTCGAGCCCGGACTCATGGGCCGACGATTCCGGCGGACGCACCGGTCCCGCGGCGGGCGGCCGAATATGGCGGAGCTGGAAGGGTGAGAGGAATTGGGAAAGTTGTGGTATTCGTGGGGCGGAGCGATGCGATTTTTGTTGTGTGGAAATAGGGGTATCATGAAGTAGGGCATAGCTCATCTCGAGAGCCGCACTGCGAAGATTCTGTATTTGGACGAACTTTCTGGCTAGGCTGAAGGCTCGGCTGGTCGCAGGATGACAATTGACATTTCTCAAGCGCAGGAAGATCCTCAGGAGTTTTCACTACGGAGGAGTTTCACGATGGATGGTTCCACGTAGTGATGGGAGAGAACAGCGTTGATGTATGGGGGAAGAGATGGCTGAGTTGATCTTGAGAGGAATATTGGAGTTTCACCTTA